AACGGAAGATTATGACAAAATGTTTTTTCTTTTTTTAGATTTTTTGTTCATTTTGAGTTTAACCATAGTTTAACCATTAAAAAAAAAAAGAGTCAAAATCATTTCATTTATCAAATAGAAGGTCTAATTGGTTGATTGATTTGTCCGCGAATGTTTAATAATAATAATAATAATAGTAATAATAATAATAATAATAATAATAATAATAATAATAATAATAATAATAATAATAATTAATCACAATAATAAAAGAAAAAGTAAGGATGGAAAAGAAAGAAAAAAAACCTTTTTTTAATTATGCAATGCATAGCATTAACATACATTATTACATTACATACATTGAACTCAAATTCCAAATAAATTAAATTAGAAACTTTATATATATATAAAGAAAAAAAAGTAAAAAAAAGAAACATTCATTCTCTTTTGTAAAACCAAGTATAGATAATTAAAAAAAATTAAATAAATAAATAAATAAAAATAATAAACTTTTTTTGAAAAAATAAGTACTACATAAAAAAAAAAATAATACCCCACAAAAAGAGTAAAAAAATTTTCCGCGCCCGAGTTAAAAAATGATGTTAGGTCACTCAAAAAAAATATTAAAAATTGTTTTTTTTTTAAAAGTTTCGATTTCCCTTAATAGTTTGGACGGTTTAAACCTGATAAATGTATGTAATCATTGTAATGTATGTATGTATTGTATGTTTATGTTATGTTTCGGATGAAATATGAGTTTTGTTTAATTGTTTATTGTTTTTCCTCTTTTTTATTTTTATTTTTTTTTTTTTTGTGACATGTACCAAAAATAACAACCGAGAAAAAGATCCACAATTCACAGTTTTTATTAAAATAAATTATTTTGACATGATTACAAAATAGTTTACAATCTTATCAAATTACAAAATGACAAAATTACGGAATTATTACGGTAATTGAGTAAACTTATAATCAAATCGGAGATCCTTTTTGGAATGTTTTAATGAGAAGGAACATATTTGGTNATCAAATTACAAAAAAAAATGACAAAATTACGGAATTATTACGGTAATTGAGTAAACTTATAATCAAATCGGAGATCCTTTTTGGAATGTTTTAATGAGAAGGAACATATTTGGTGAGTGGTTGGTTTCACTTGGTGACATATTGTACAAAATTACCTCGTGAGCTTTTTTTGATGCAAATAATAAATTTTACAAAAAAAGAAATTAGAAGAATACATATAATACATATTTAGTACTTGATATATATAAGATATGATTACACACATAACATTACATTTACCTGTATTTAATATTAAAACAGGAATAATAATAATAATAATAATAGTAATAATAGTAACAATATAATATTTATCTTTTCTAGATTATTCGATCGATGTTCCGAACTTGGTTCCCAGTTTCAAAAGTATTTGTAATAAAATTAAGAGTTATATGATTTTTAACTAATAATAATAAAGTAATTAATAAATTACAAGGTAATAAAGATGACAAAACTCAATTAAACGTACGATCTTTTTTTTTACTTTATTTAATCTAATGATAAACCTTTTGTGTTTGTTCAAATAAATGACCTTTTGACCTCGTGATCATACTACTGTATGTGATTATTTTTATCAAATTTGCATTCAAAATTCCGAATTATATTTATTCAAACCAATTATTACCTCACATTTTTTAATTTTCGAATCAGGTAACAAGGTTATCTTGAGCTATTTAATCTTGTTTAAGCAACATACATACATATTTACACAGTACATACAGTACATAGCACATACATATGCACCCAAAAGTCCGGAATTTCCAAATAATATTTAAATAATAATAAACAAGCGAACCAAATAAAAAATAATAATAAAAAAGTTATAAGTAATAATTAATAATAATAATTACCATATATACTAAAAAATTGAGGGGGGAAGCCGGGAAGGGGAGAAGGAAGGAAAGAAGGATAAAAAGGATAAAAGGGATAAAAAGGATAATAAAATATAAAAAATACAATAAAAAAAATAAAAAATAAACAGATCACGGTTTAAAATGTAATTAGGATCTACTTTTATTCTTTTTCTTATGTTTTTAAACAATAAAGCTAAATTCGTAATAAAATTTACACGAAGAACATTACACAGTGATCGGTGAAAATCGGGTTTATGTTGATATTGACCTCCTTGTCCTCCTTGTGTTATATGTGTTAAATGATATGCGTTAAATGATGTGAAATTGTCCACGATGATCTTGCGTGATTGAGCAATAACCATTGTTATTTTTTTTTTAATATATATAAAAAATTTTTTTTATTTTTTAATATATATAAAAATTTTTTTTATAATATATACAGTTTAATCAGTATAATGTAACGTAAATGTAAATGAAAAAAAAATATATATATATTTTTTTTGTATACTATATATACTGTATATATATTATTAACTAATATGTTTTGTTTTCAAGTTGAAAAAAATTTGTATAATTTTTTTTATATCAATTGATGAACGATTTCATCAGACAGAAACTTCTGTTGCATGCAACAGATAGAGAATTCTAAAATTTGGAGTGCTTTTTATAAATTCGAAAAAGGATTTTAAATAATCATAATAATTCTTTTTTTTCTTTATTTTTTTCTTTCTTAAAACAAATACAAATATTAATTATAATAATTACGATGAACATTTACTTTTTGATTCCCTTATTGCTGTATGTGATCATCCTAATTGTTTCAATCAACCTTTTTTTATTACTTTGTTGTCAAAATTTTTTTATAATATATATATATATACGGTACGTGTATCTATTTGTATCTATTGTGTTCATTTTGTCTGATTAAATAGGATGTTTGTTTATATTACGATAAAAAAAAATACGGTTTATACCGGTAAAATAATTATGCGTTGTTTAATAACGTAGCCACGTTTTGTTTTCCATTTCACCCCAAAAATCATAAATTTTGTCTTTCGATCGGCGATCTATTTGTATAAAATATATTTTTATTAAGTAATCAGAATGTTGCAATATACCTTATCTTTTCTTATCCAGTCAGCAATAAGTTCAGATACCAAACAATCCATATTCCAAATATTCATTCAATCAGCAATAAAAATTATGTTTATAAAGTGTTACAATAATAAGAAAACACGGGAAAAAAATGTTTTTTATTTTCATATAACCCCCTCTTTAACCCAAATATTTTTTAACGAAAAAAAAATTCCTTTTTTTTTTCCTGCTTTGACGAATTTTTTTATTCCATTTTTTTTTTTCTCGTCTTTGAAAAAAAAACAATTTTCACAATGAATCAATCTCATATATCCAATTTTACCGAAACTATTGAACGTACTCCTTCATTTTACGCTAGTCTTATTATTCGAAGGCGGAATGATCGTCGAGAAAGACGAATTGATACGACCCGTGTTGGGAGATTAAGATTACCAATACAAAATACGAACAATCAATCCGTAAATCAATTTTTTAACGGATCTTCTTTCCCTTAAATCAGAGCGATGATTTATGCGATGACTTACAGTAGTGGTTTAATATAAATTCCACCACTGCTTAATTTTAAAAATTATAATTTTAGTTATGCCATGTTGAAATATGCGTTAAATAAGCTAATATATGGACAATATTATCATTCACAATAATATGATTAACATAGGTTTATATCATTAGGTTTAATGATTTTATGAATAATAGATAAAAAAAAATAGGTTTAAAACTATGAATTATCTAATGGTTTCAAATAATAATCCATTTTCTCATTCTGCAGTTAATGTACATTTTAATCATTTTATTATTTTAGTTCAGTTTAACATTTAGTTTTAACCAATTAAATTATCGTTAAGTCAATATACTAAATTGATCCGCACAGAATCTCATATCAGGGGTTGATTAAAAAAAAATTTTATCTTTGACAAAAAAAAAACTAAACTCGTTCCAATGATCCAATCCATCTAACATAGTTACAACTCATCTAATTAAAAGTAGGTCATATTTATATAGTCAATATTTTATATTTTATTTTCCTTTTCTATTCCTATTTCTTATTTTTTTAAAAAACTTTTTTCTTTTGTAATTTCTTATCTATTATAATTTTAAAGACAAAACATTGAAGAAATTTTAAATTACTTTTTTTTTATTGGATTGAATTTTATTAGCGTTAATATATGATATTACACTGATTTATATTGATAAATAAAGTTCATTAATATGGATTAATCACTTTACCCTGCTTTTAAAAATAAATTTTATTTGTTATCAAGACAATTATAGAATGTGGAAAGAAGAAAAATAATGAGATTTTGATTTTTTACTCACTTTTATACAACATACTACATTCAAATTTATATATATATTTATTTTTTTCCTTATTAAAACAACATAAAATACAAGATAAAATGTTATCATTAGAAAAATGTTAGATAAATATAATATGTATTATATTGTAATGATTACATATTTGTATAATTAACTTTATTTATAGGTTTTTTGGTTGATATATAGTTCTGGCCTGACATAGTACAACGTTTAAAGAATTCACAATTCTGATAGAACCGAAGCCGCTTGCAGAAAAAGAAAAAGGGACCATAATCGGAAATACTGAATGCTTGTTTTTACTCATTGTTACTTTCTATAGGTTGTTACTCGCGAATAACATGATCCGACTGATCCGTGGAGTAACACATATATGTGAAATATTATATACAGTATATGTTTGGGATAGATTATTTCAGAAATTTTGTGATTATAGAAGGTAGTGTAAGAATCTCGTAATTAGAAACAGTGGTAGGAACAAGATAGCTTTAGCGAGCAAAGAAATACGGTAATTCGAAAATATATGATAGAAGTAAAAAAGCCAGTCTGTGTAACCCTTATACTGCAAAATATGTATTTTGGCAAATCAACTAACAATTCAGCAAGTTTTTCTGTATAAATTATAACAAAGTTTATATACTTCTTTCGCTAAATGTAATTATCTTTATTCTATATAGTATATGTAATTACATATTTTCAAATAAAAACGAAGCTTAATTGCAAATTACATTTACTTTTATGTGTAATATAAGCATTATGTGGGGGAAAATCAGATCTCAGTTCTTCCAAATTTGTAAAAAATAATTCGAAGTATGTTCGCACTATATTAGAAATTGTATAGATTAGTTTAATTATTTTTAATGGTTCCTTTTTATTTAATAAAGTAAGCTTTACCTATACTTACGCGTGTGTACATTATCAACTTATCAACCTTGTTTATCACAGTCTTTCTCAGGAAGGCGGTCTTTCTCAGTAAGATTAAGGCGGTCTTTAATGAAATGGACCTCTTTAATTAGTTCAATGTTTTGATTTCCAATATGATCTAGTTTCTAGATTTGAATGAAAATACTAAATTTAGTGGTTTTGCACTTAAGATAATGATCATTAAAACTTCTTTTACCTACCGAATTGATTGGGACTAACGATCTGTCGATCGAACTATTAACGAGTTTCCAGTTGCCGAGCACAGCAGCTCCGCCAAATGTAACGAGACCAGCGCCATTGCGAAAGGTTTTAAGTTCGTCAGAAGTTAAAAATTCATGAGCCTTAGATGTAACTAATTTTTATATAGTAAAATTATGTTATTTATGTCCTTAACAAACTTACTAAAACATATTTTATTATTATTCTTACCATTATTATTATTGGAATATCTCCTGATGACAGTTTTCGACAAATTTGCAAGTCTAAACATTATGTAATATTTATAAAATTGAAATTTACGTAAAATAAAGGTTCTAATTTTTTTTTAAAAAAAAATAAATAATTATATATATACCTATTTAGATAGACTCTTTGATGATGTGATGATGTAATCATTTTCCCCATGTACTGATAAATTACCTCATTTCATTCATTTGACTTATTTGACTAATATGGCTTGGTGCGATTGATCTACTTCGGAAAAAATAAATCGCAGTAACTTTGTGTAACGTGATGTAAGATTTACTTTAAGCCATCGTCCTATTTTCTCCGAGCATCAAAATTATTTCAGCTATATATAATATGGACTCGTTAAAAAGAAACCAACCTATCGCAGTTTGAAAGAAGTGTCCGGACGAGACACTTCGCAATTAAGGTATGAATGAATATACTTTTTTCGATCGTAGTTGTGCACGCTAGATGACCTTCCTTATCAGAAATCAACTGCGGATTACAGAATTTATAGTCATTGTCGGAACGTGATGAAATAAGCCAATTGTGACCCCTAAGTCACGAACTCATAGTTGGACAACTTTTCTACTACGTAATAATTTCTGATGTTTTATGATTCGAGCTCTGCTCCTATAGGAAATGCTCTCTACGAAAGAACCAGTATGTATCATCCCCATTATTTTTTCACACTCTTTCGTTAGTTTGGAAATACCTGGCGAAAAAAATTCTGAAATTGTCTATTAAATAGATAAGTTAGTACTTTTATAAGTATTTAGAGGAGCGTACTAGGGGCTTTAACTATTACGTGAATGTTTTCTTCAGGAATGCCTTCGGGGCTCGTCCAATATTTTACGGTTTTATACATTGCAATTAATTCGTCTTCGCTCGAAGAGAAATTCCCTCCATTGAGTCATTTCTATGTATCAGGGTATTTACTTTCCGTAATCTAAGGTAGCTTGGTCCAAAACGAAAGTCACGATCTTTTTCTTTTTTTATTAATCGTTTAGTTCACTTAACGTTTCGTCTGTGTTGATTTTAATCAAGAAAATATTGTCAACGTATCGGTCCATTTAGTGGCGGAATAAGTAACCGATGGTTGTTTCATTTTTGCTTTTTTTTAAAAAAAAATTAGATTTTTGTACAAGAAGTTTTTTTAAGTGTTCGTAAATAAAAAATAATTTAAAAATATTTACAAAATTAGAAAATTTTTTTTAACGAATCGAATTGTTTTTTTTAAAATCAAAACACTTTCTAAGTGTATCTCGTTTTTGTCGTTTGTTGTTCCCTCACTTCATTAAAAACGAAGTTTTCGAATATTGTTTTTTCTTCAAAATGAGAACAAAAATCTATCGGTTTCTTCCTTTTTTTTTGATATATATATAATATATATCACATAAAAAAAAGGAACTAATGAGATTTTTTGTTAAGGGAGTTTTTAAAAAAAATTTGAAAGGAGAAGTTAAAAAACTTCAAAACTTTCAAAAAAAAAAAATAATTATGACCAAGACAAAAAAACATTTTTTTTTAAAAAATTTTTTTTTTTGTTGTTAAAAAATATTTAGGTTAAATGCAAAGAGGGATATTTTATATGAAAAATCTTTTTTTTCATTGTTAAAAAATATTTGGGTTAAACGCAAAAGAGGGTTAATTTATATAAAAAAAATTTTTTTTTTTTCCCTCCGATCTTCGCTTTTTTTGTATAAAAAAAATTTTTGTTATACAATAAAGTTTTTTACGTAAAATAAAATAAAAAATAAGCTTAAATAAAATTTAGTTCGCCCCAAATAATTTTTCTTTGTTCAGGTTACCAAAAAAAAAAATAATAAAATTGTAAATAGAATTAAAATGTCATTTAAGAAGGAACGAGTAACAAATAAATCGGCCGAACACAAAGTTAACAAATAAATAAGTTTACATTATGTAATGATAGTCCTAATAAACAAAAACAGAATAATCATTGTACTATATTTGGTAATGTGTAAGTAATTGGAGTTGCGAATGCCGATTGAGTTTAGAAATTAAATAGTATGATAAACAATAATGTTAAACTATTTATGGTTTAAATAATTTTCTTTTAAAAAAACAAATATTATTATTATAAAAAAGCACTATCCAAATTTATCAATCTAACATTGGTTTTGTTTGTAACATTTCAAATTAAAACTGTATACATTAAAAAATTAATAAACCAGAAAAAGAATTCTTTTTTTTCTTTTTTTAAGCTCGTCAATAAATAAATAAATAAATTATTATATTAATTAATGTTATAAGAAAACATTTTTTTTTTTTTAATATTATTAAATTTTTTCTTTATCATGAAAGAAAAAAAAATACTATCAATAAGAATCATTTGTTGGAATTTGGAAATTCTAGGTCAGTTTTTAGTCAGAGTCAAACACAATTTCTTTAATTGAGAAACTAATGTACCGGGTGCATCAGTATTTGAAATTCAAATTTTAAATCATGTTCAACAATATAAGAATATGCGCAAATGTGCCGCACATTGATTTCCTTATGGGATTTAGGATCACGTGTTGTCATTACAATTAGTCGATTTATTGTTTAAAAAATCGCGTTTAAGTCAAAATTTTCAGCCAAAACCTCGATTGTCGTTCTAAGTAATATTGCAGAGCAGTTTATTAAGGTTTTTTTTTTTTGAAAAGAAAAAGATTTTGTAAAAAACGACTTCCCCTGCGTACCCTACAAAAATGTCACGAAATTCACGTGACTAATTTTTGGTCATCCGTGTCTTTTTCGCACATTTTGTAAACTGGCGACACATTTGTCGATCATTTCTAAAAGAATTATTTATAATCGGCATAAGCTGTCATTTGGGTGCCACTACGACTAAAACTTTCCATTATAGGACAAAAAACGTATATTATTCGCGGCTTATTTTCAGCCAATCATTTACCCCCCATAATTAAAGAAAACTCTTTTCCATCGGATAAATTTTATATCCGGGAGGCCTCGTATAAGTAGTTCATCAATAATAAATTCCATGCATATTGAATAACTATAAAATTTAATATCTAATCTATATAACAAATTCGAAGAAAAAAAATAATTTTGGTTTTTTATAGTATGATTAAAAATCAGCCAGATCTTTTTTTATAAATACTGTAAACCTTCTAACTAAATATTTTTTTTTTTTAACAACGAAAAAAAAAAAATTCCTTTTATTTTTTCCTGCTTTCACGAATTTTTTATTTTATATATTTTTTATTTTCTTTGAACGTCAAGTAGAAGCACTTTTCTTTCCAATTTTTTTTTTTTTAAAAAATTCTTATATGATATATATTTATATATAAATATATAAAAAAAAAGAGACTGCAAAATTATTTTTCACTTTGAAAAAAAAAAATAAAAGAAAAGAATTTAATAAACTATTTCGAGAGAACACTTCAAGAAATTTTAAAAATATATATAATTTTTATAATGGATAATGAACAACAACCAACAAATCGAACAATAAATGCAACTCAAATGGAATGTGCTCCTTGCGACTATTCAGACACAACATCTAACAATTTATCGTCCTACGCTAGTCTTACTATTCGTAGACGCCGAAATCAACGACGGTTAAGACATGGAATTACAATTAACAATATGTATATATTGAATCGCATAAGACGATTACCACGATTACCGATACAAAACACAAACGATTTATTTACAAATCAATTTTTTAATGGATCTACTTTTCGTTAAAGAATGATCCAATCGCTTTTTAATTATCTTCGCTTACGTTTAGTCGAAATCGTCAAAATTCGTATATGGAAAGATTCGAATATCTCAAATATCGTTAGCAAACCTACTCACTTTCGAAGTTAATTTTATTTTTATCGATAATAACGTTAACGGCAAAAATTATGTACGATCACTCATTCGTTAATAATGATCAACTTTTGTATTACATTTATTTATAGAGACTATACATGGTTAAAAATCCTAAAATCTATAAATAAACATAATAAATTAGCCAGCCACCTTTGCATTGTGGATGGTTTTTCTTTATTCTTTTTTTTTGTTCAAAAGATGACGTATTATAATATTCACTCTTATTTGTAATAGTTTAAGATTTCAACTAGGTTTTCTTGGTTTAGCTAATAATTTTAAAGAAACTTCGTTATTATTTTTATTATTATCATTTAGCCACATAGGTTCATATTGAACATCCTATCATTTATTTTATGCAGACATATGATCATACGATAATTTAAGTAAATAGAATAAAAAAATAAAACAATCACTTAAAATAAACTTATTTATACATTTATATAAACTTTTTAAACTTTTATCTAATAAACTTTTTTTAAACTTTTACATATAATTTTTTTTTAAAACTAATACATAAACTTTTTTAACTCTCAATATGAACTAAAAAAAGCTAAACGATAATATAATTATATACTTAACAATAGGATAAAATGGCTGTGCCATTTTATATACCCCCATACAATAATATGTAATTATTGAATTTCAAATTTTCTATTATTACCGGTGGTAATTTTTGTGTGGCGGTGTGGCTGTATTAATAGTTATTGAATAGGGGAGTAGCTATGTTGGTCACAGGACCGATATTGCCCTTTGATCATGCATTAATTAATAACATCATAAATAAGCTTTCTATAAATTTCATTTTTATGCTATTTTTAATCCACTTTATTAGCTTTATTTAAACTTTTCCTACAAAACATTCATTTACACCATATTTTTTACTTCACTTTATTATATCAATCATATGTTATTGCTATGCCTAATAAACAATATCGGTCTATGAAAATCTGCATGATCTTATTGGGCTGAACGATAATATTACTTTTTTTTCATTTACGTTACATAACATTGTAATATAGCCTATAGGGAAAGCCTAACTTTAAAAAAAAACTTTAAAAAAATAAATAAATAAATAATTTATACAAATAATATATTTTTTATGAGTTTTGCTAACTTGTCCTCTGGGTTAAATAACCTGGGTTAAATCACCCCCCTAAAATTTATATTTTACATCTAAAAAAAAAAAATTATTTGTGTTATTATTCATTTCATTTTATATAGATTTTATTTATTTGGATATTATAGAGTAGTATAATGACCAATTTTTCTTATATTTTTGACAATGTCTCTCATTTTTATTGTAATCATAATTTATATTTTTTTTTTGAAAATTTAGGCAAAATTATATAATTATATAAAATTTACTAGTAGCCAGGTTAAATCACTCAGTTAAAATTAGTCTTATACATATTTTATATATATCTCAAAAAAAAAGTGAAGAAATTTTGTTCTCACTTTGAAGAAAAAAAACAATATTCAATAATAATATTTTTTGAGAGAACAACAAACAATAAAAACGAGATACACTTGGAAAGTGTTTTGATTTAAAAAAAACAATTCGATTCGCGAAAAAAAATTTTCAATTTTATAAATAATTTTTATAAAAAAAAAAAATTTTTTTTATTTACGAACACTTAAAAAAAAACATAATTATTTTTTAGAAATAAAAAACAAAAATGGAACAACCATCAGTTACTTATTCTGCCACTCAATCTGTTGATTATCTCGATCAAACTCATAAATGGACCAATACTGATGTTATCTCTTCTTATAAAGAGATTTGCAAACAATTTGATATTATTCAAGAGAAATTACGTGAAGAAGTCGAACAAAAGGAAGAAGTTCTTCGTATTCCAAATAACTATCTTAAAAAGCTGCCCAACAATCTCAACGTGGAAGAATGGAACGACCATCAGTCGCTTATGCTGCCAAATGGACTGATGCTGATGTTATCTCCTATTATAAAGAGAATATGCGTAAAAGGACCCATAAAAGGGTCAGGTTTGAACTAAAAAAAAAAATCATGAAAATCTTTCCTTTTTGAAATAATTTTAATAATGCCAGTCAGAATATATTTCCTATTATAGTAACCGACTGTCATTATAATAATTCCGGCCCTGAAAAAATGCGTACAGCTCATAGTAAAAAATTTTTTTCATCACCTTACCCCTATATATATATTTCTAGGTCCTTGTGTAAACCATGTTCTGATGTCTGGCCGAACGGAATACTTCCGTATGAATTCGACAATAATGTGTCCTTGGGAGTTGGGACTTCAAATCATTGTGTCAAATGCAATGAATATGATCTCCAACGTTAGTTCAGTAAAATTCGTGAAAAGAACGGATCAATCAGATTATGTAAAAATCGTTGATAAGGTTCCTGTGTTGGTAGGAAAAGAAAACACCAGGTACTTACCATATTTGTCTATAATTCACTAAACTCATTCCATTTCACAATTATAAAGGAATTATCGGTAACCAAGGACTTGCAAAATTATCCACATACTGAGAGTAATATTGTACACGAACTGATGCACGCGTTTGGGTTCTATCATGAACACTGTCGTCCAGACCGGGACAAATATTTAACCGTTATAGCTAAAGAAAATGATAGAGATTTTGGAAAAGTATGTGAGATGGATGTGGTGTATTTTGGTCCGTATGACCCAGAATCAACCATGTATTATTTCCCGGGATGTTATCCCCAAGGATAATGTATACAAGCGAAGCCGGGGACGGAAAGAACAAATGCTATGGATTTGTATATGACTCCTTTCGATTTGTTTCATACAGTCAGCTTCGTCTAATAAAAATTATCTTTCCAAAATTCCGTCAGGCCAATGTATAAAGTTAAGTGCTTATGATATAAATTAGAGTTCCAATCCGTCATCCGACGATAATCACATTTTGACAGTTGTACGCTCATTTAATTAATATAAAAGAGCATTTTTTTTAAGGATATCCTAAAAGCATAATACAGTATATAATTTAATAAATAAACTTTCTTTTCAAAAATGAAAGTGAGGAGAAATTAGGAACGGATTAAAATATCATCCGACGGATGAAAATTCAATCCGACTAAGATTTCACCCCATTTATTTTATGTTCAATTAATTAAATAATGCATAGTCTGATCACCTTACATCGAATGCAGTTCCTAAATTATAATTATGAAACATAAATATCTCTTTCCAAAAATAAATGAGAAGAGATTGATCATCCGTCGGATGTCAGATTGGAACTCTAATATAAATGCACTTAATGCACTTTATCCTAGCTCGTCATACCTCTCCACGCTAAGGAGGAGTTTAAAAATGAAAGATAACCATAATTTATAATTCGAGCTTTATATTCTATGAATTGTATCTGACATTTTACTAACTTTGTTCCTTATAATTTGAATTATTATTCTTAGTATTTTTCGTATAGCAAATTTTGAAAACATTTTAAATAATTTGGCGGAACTACTCTATACAGAAAATTAATTATAGTTGAAAATTTTCTTAACCGATAAAGCAAAAGCTCTATAAAAAAAAGATGAATAAATTCAAGTAATCATATGTTTTCTAAATTGATAATCCCAATTTTTTTTTTATGGTTAAATTTCTTTACCTGCTAAAACAAATGACCCAACGCATGAAATGAACCTACTACTAATACACAATACTATATAAATTGAAAAATACCAGAAAATAAAATAAAGCTAAATAAGTTTAAGATTTTATGCAGTTTTTTTTTTGATATGATTTCCATAATTTTTCTATTGCGCTTGAAAATTTTTCTAGCAAGTTTAAAAATTTAGTTTAACCAGCCTAAGGTGTTATGGTGCCTCGCTTCAAGAAAAAAATAAATAAAAATTTCTATTACAGCTTCTAACAAAAATTCAAAAATTGGGGTATATTATCATATATATTAATTTAAAAACTCTTTTTAGTTGCATTTTTATATTTAAAATAGGTTCAAAAAAAAAAATTTTTTTAATTAAAAAAAAATTTATTGGATTCACCTTTTGGCAAAGATTTAGTTGATTTCATCGGTAATATTTTGAAGAATTCTATAACTTCAGATTTAAGAATCCTTAAGGATTCTTTCTATCTATAAAGAATCTTTAAAGATTCTAATTTCTAAAACATTACTGATATAGATAAAAAACATTATATTCAACAGCTATTTTTAAGAAATGACATTAAGCTTATTATTTTTTTTTTATTCCTAATATTTTTAATTTTTTTTTCCTTTACTTCTTATTTTTGCTTATCAATAACATCAGAAAATTTCTCTAGCGTATAGAAAAAAAAGATGGAATATAAAAAACGGATCGACTTGGGGTAGAGAAGCAAGCGAAATATATTGACGGGAAGGAAGTACATGGATCTTATGCCATTTAATGCGAGTTCCAGCATCATGTTCATTTCTTTGCTCTCTCACATTTTCGAAAAATATCTACTATATCTAATTTGTTTCTATTGCTGAGTGCTGACGAGATTCATGTGAATAATTTCACTGCGTCTATTGTACACGTGATGATAATCAGAGATTTTCTCTGCGTGCCGATATAATGTATAACAAGAAGAGTAATATGTCCGTTTTATTTTGGAAATCTATAGAGACAGGAAAATCGATCAACATCGTGAATTCGTGATGACATGTTTCAATGAGCTAGCCGAACAATAAACCAACCTACCTTACTATTAGTGATATTGATGATGTAAATAATGGTAAGTTTGGTCAGTTTTAATTTTTATTTAATTTTTGCTTTACTTGCGCAAGGCAAATAAAAAGATTCGCTAACTGCAGGATCGATTTTGAAATACGCTTTTACGTTAATATGATCTGATCAACGGATCCGCTTAAAATCATAATAAAAACTCCATATACAAAGATCAATGTCTAACATTACTGCGCATTTATTTATCAAGTTCAGATTGCATATTCGATTACAACTTTCATATAGGATGCGATTTATTTGATCCAAGTGGGACTTTAGGTCTCACTTTTTTTATTCATCATACATTTCGAAAAATATTCTTGATACAATGTATAGCTTTTTCGGCAGAATTCTTTATTGATACAATAAATAAATTACATGATTCGGCTTGTAATCGTGATACACGACGAACTAATATACTGTACATGATTATTGGCTACGGACTATACTCGCCCCATATGTCGCAGGACTTTGAGCTTCGTATTTTTTCACATGATTATTTTGATGGATTGGTTGGGATCGTGACCGTTATTTTGAACATAGAATATGCAAGAAAATTAAATATCAATTATTATAAGGTCATTGATCATAGGAGATCGAAACTTTTGGATGCTAGACAAACAAACTCCCTAATTTTTTGTATCCTTTTAGGAATAAAGATTTCCGTTTTTCGTCATACAATACTTCAAGAACAAAAATTTCATTAACTTAACATATGCATCGTTTTTGTCGATCATGATTAACGATGTCCCCAAGTTTTTTACATCTTTATACCAGCTGGTGCTATGAAACCGATGCTGAGCCCCTTGCACTTCCAATGAAATCTGATATTTTTTGAAGAAGGCATCAAGATCTAATCCATTTAAGAAAGGAGGGCGATATTCGATCATAGGTTCCTCATCAAGAATTTCCTTAGCTATCTAGATACATCTAGGATTCTTTTTTAAGCTTGTTGATATCATGCCTTAATTTTGTCATATCAGCTTTAAATTTATTCATTAATCTGTCTGGAACCCTGTTTAATTGATAGTCTCTCAAATGAAATCTGATGTTGCAAAGATGGGTCATTTCCCCAATATTTGGGATAACATAGTACATTATACCTCCACCTTTGTAGTGGACTGAATAGTTCTCGGATTGTCATCATCTCCCATAACTTGATTTCTCACATTGAGCTCTTCAACATTTGGGTATCATCATACATTGAAGTTTTAGTTCCCTTTGTAAAACATTTACCAACACCTATATAAATGGTAAGTATGTAAGCATGTCTCTACTGTATTTTACTATTTATTTTACAAAAATTAACCCACCGTTACTTCAATAAAGCAAATTGTATAAGGACATCATGAATCGGACTGATCTTGCGTAGCAAATCAACTGATGTCTTTGGTGTGAGTATACGTTTCAACAACATTTCCATAGATTGTTTCACAGTTGACCAATTCCTTTTTAAGTTAAAATTATTTTAATGACAAAACTATACAAAATCTATTCAAAGCATAAATCCTGCAAGTTTTCTGAAGTATTTTTTCATTATAATCATCCTCTCAAGTTCATCGTCATCTTGAATCTAAATCTTGTACTCTATAATATCCATCTTTAAACTGATCCAATTGACTTTGGTCAACTGGATCTACTGATGATGATTATCACTATCACCTTTATCTCCGCTATAATCCAAACTTTCTATCTCTTCTTTTGTCAATTTATCATCCTATAAACACATTATTTTCTTTCTAACTTGCTTTTTATCGCTTTTACTATATAATAAACAGTTACTTACTCTGATGAAACATTAGGGTCGTTAGATCGTTTGGCAGTTCCAGATTGTTTCTTTCCACCACGTCCTTGCTTTCCACTATGTAGATGAAGTTCTTCGATATTATGAGCACAGACTTTACTGAGCCTGGCCTTTCCAATGAAGACCAACAACCCTGGAAACACCCCGACCAACTAATTAAAAATATAAAAGAACTAAATCAACGTCTTTAATTTCATCTTCACTGATAATCGGATTTGTAGGAAGTTTTGATATGTCATTCGCGCCTGAATAAAAATTTAAAAATTTATTCCTCAAAAATAAACCGATAATGAATACTCAGGAGCTGTATTTCTGATTTAACATTTAAATAAAATTTTCTTTTAAAGTGTGGGAGAGAAAAATCAACAAGTTTAAGAACAGGAAAGAAAATTGAATCGAGAATAAACAAACTTTTAACAAGCCATATGCAGCCAACTATGGTAGATAATCTGACATCATTTCCTGTTTAACTAAAACGTGAGGGAATATGGTGTTTTGGATATATTGTGGTGAAAAAAAAAAAAAGTTTTTTTGAATATATATATATGTGTGTAAAATAGAGCAAAAAAAAAAATTACAAATATATAAATTACATTTTATTTTTTGATGATTTGATGATTGAAATGATGAAATGATTTATTATAGCACAAAAATAAATAAATAAATAAAAAAAAAGATATCTTTTCTTTTTAATTAATATTTTTATTTATTGTAAAGAGATTATTTGGAAATAAATTTTATTTGTGGATTGTGGAAATTATTTTTAAACTGTGGAAAATTATCTTACTGTAAAAAAAAAAACAAGAGGAAATATTTACTGTAAAAAAAAAGGAAGAAGAAGAAGAAAGAAAAAAAAAATTAAAAAAGAAATATATAAAAGGAAATTACCGTATAACGGGGGCCACAGTACCCCGGGTATGATACAGATTTCAGAGGTTTTGACCTTATACCCCCCACCATTGCGTGAGTTTTTATTATTAGTAGATATGTATAAAACTTATATAATAATTGGGTATTTATCATGCGTAATACCTAGGTATTTATTAAATTATTTTAAATAATAAAATCGTAGAAAATGGGAGTTCTTTTTTGTAGGGTACTCTGCATGGGGTACTGTGGCCCGCAAAATACATTGAATGTTACATAAACACACACACATATATATATAATATATATAGTTTATATAATGTAATATAATAATGATAGAATGGTTTAACGAAATCAACAAATCACAAATCATACAATGATAAAACAAAAATGAACTACCGTCTACCGAATACCGAGAGTAAGTAAACTTCACCCCCAAAAAAAAGGAATCATTTTTTACAATAATATATAAACTTTTTTTTTATTATAATAATAAAAAAAAAAACTTTCTTCCTTTCTTTTTTTAAAATAAAAAGGATAAATTGTGCCACATACAAAATCTAGGTTTTTTTTATTACTAAGTAAAAAAAATATTGTATTATTTTTTTCGCCAAGATTTTTAAGATTTAAGTTATGCCAAATTGGCTCTCAACTCACTTTTTTTTTCTCTCTCTCTAAAGCCCTGTAAAAAAAGTCAATCCGTTTTATTTATTCCATCTTTTTTCCGTAAAAGGCTCATATTTCCGGAATTAATAACCTTATATCACGGAATTTATCGAATTATTTGCATTTTCTGTGAATGGATCCGTGAAAGGCTCATTTTCACGGAGTTTTTACAGAAATAACGGATAAAATTTTTTATAGGGGAAGGATCAACAATGAATGATCATTGTATAAT